GGATTCCACACACTCCCCTATTATGTCACAAAATCAGTTTGCTTTGACTTGAGCCCCCATATATTGTTGGACTATAACTCCCATCATCCCTCACTTTGGCGAAGATGACTCAAGATGATGGGAGGTGTAGTCCAGCAAATATCTGTGAACCGAAGATGGAAGAGCACTCTGCTAATTTGTATGAAAATTGGAGTGGCAGCTGTCTGAATATTGACCAGGCTGCTCTGTGTACCCTAACCTCCATTCACCCTCCACTGTGCAGGAACCTTCATTCCGAAGCACAGGAGTGTGACTGTGCTCTCTAAAACAAATCTGGAAACATGGGGAAGGGAGGGCACTCTTTCCAGCTAAAGCCCCTTTAAGCAACTAAGCCCTAGTGCTAAGGGGTTTTAGGAAGCATAACACAAAGTGGTAATTAAAGACCCCTCCAGGACCCTTCCCCCAAGCTCCCTCCATAAGCAATTAATTACCAACCCTTCCAGGAGGGAGAGGGGAAGTTAATGACTTCTCCATGTAATGAGAGATAATTCTACTCCAGCCATCCTGCTCTTCTACACAGGCTGCCTGCTGTTGCCGCAACCAAGTGGCACAGATCAGCCAGCTTTGGGAAGAAGGCTGGCCCGGGTTCAAGTGACCAGGGGTCTTGTGTTCAGGTCCAGGGGGTGGGGTGTGTCTGAAGGACCCTGGCAAACTGGAGCACATCCAATACAACAGCATCAGTCATATCATGTAATATATCTTCTCCATTAAGGGTGCACACAGAATACAATTGGAAGGGACCCTGAGGATCATCTAGTCCAATGCAGGGATATGCAGCTGTCCCTTATGGGGATCGAACCTGCAACCTTGGTGTTATCAGCACCACACTCTAACCAACTAAACTAGCTAGGCATGTCATAATGTTGTGGTCTATGTCAGGGACTGAGTGTGGTTTTCTAGACATCTCCACCTGGCTTGCAGGACTCCTCTCAGGTGCATCAGCCCTGCTATGCACCCTTCCTGGTCCTCATTGGGTCACCCATCTCACTCCTTTGGCTCCTCCGCAGGGGGAAATATCTTTCCCCACAAAGGGATCCACCAGGGGACTATTCCAGGGTCACAAAAATAGATAGATAAATCTGGTTCTATAAGTATCATTTTTTGGTGTGCCACCTTGTGCATGTGTATGGGATGACACAAAACTAGGAATATTAAACAATATTCAAATATAATAATGTAAGAGAACCAACACTGAGAGCAACTGATACATTCAACTCTCTACTTTTTTCCTGCATGCCTTCACAAATAGGGCTCTGACACTGGTTCATGATTGATTGGGACTGAAAAATCCACAGCTTTCCATAAATAACGAAAAATTAGTGAGCTCCTTGAGGTATCAGCAGGGCTCTGTTCATTACATGCCCCTGCAAGAGGACTGACAGAGGAGAATTCATGGAGGCTTTCTCAACAGGGCTTATATTAATCTGGGAATAGCTCAGTCTGGTGGAGCCTGCAGTGCAGAGGAACAAATAGCCAAACGTGTCTTGGGCAGAGTTAGGTCAGGGAGGATGGGAAGTGGTTGAGTGGGATAATCACATTGTCAATTAGGGTTATGACAGCTGTATTCTGTCCTTTCCCCCAAAATGTCAGGGCAACATATATAGGATTATCCCTTTCTGCCCTCACAACGACCCTATGAGGTAGGTTAGTTTGAGTGTCAGGCCCTGCCACCTTTCAGAGCTGGAAACAGACAAAACCTCCTTATTAGTAGAGAACTGGATATTGGGCCTAGCAGGAGCCAGGAATAGGGGGGAATAGGGAACCTGTAGAGAACCCTTGCGATCACTCCCCAAGATTGTACCCCACTCAGGGGAATGTGCAACATTTTGGGGGGCTACTTGCCACAACTGGGCTCACCCCTGACAATGACTACCTGGTCCCCAAGAAGCGTAATGTGCCAGGGCGTGAACCTGAACGGAAGCTTGGCAGTGCAATGTTCATAGGACATTTCTTGTAGGAGGAACGTCATCACCTTCCTGGTCATGGACTTTAGTTCTCCAGGAAAGGACAGGGCAACCAAGCTAAGAATTGAAACCCTTGGAATTGCTTGGAAGTTGCTGGTGGAATAACCTTTGTAGATCAGTCCCTAGACCTGGGGAGCTTCTAGCCAGCTGCTCTCTTGCTCAACATCAGATTCACAGCGGTTCGTACCATGGACAGTTCCCTTGCTTGACTGAATGCCGAAATGAGAGACGGCAAGCATGGTTGTTAGCATCTGCCTTGAGAGACAATGGGGGTGAAGTCAAACTGCTGGAGAATCACAACACTTGCTGTGGCTGCAGAGACCAGTAACTTGTAAATGCCTCATGTGTTGTTTTTGCTGTGTTAGCAACACTGATGTGACCTCTCCGGGGGTCAAGTGTCAGGAGCTAGCTGGCAGAAAATCACACTGTTCAAGTTGGAGTTAACTCTTTATTTGAATATGAGCTGTAGAAAAAAAGCTTGCAATCAGTAATAGATCTCCACCACAAATTTGATGTAGGTAGATACAAGCACGTGCCTTGGCTTTGCAGACAGTTATTCACATGAAGAAATTGGTGTGGATTGTGTATGTCTGGGCTGTAATACGTGCATAATAAAGCCAGGCATTTTGCAGATTGTGAGGTTTTTGTTGTTGTTGTTACATTTTGTTCTTACATTTCTATACTAATTTCCACTCCAGGAGCTCAAGGTCTTCCCCCGCTTTTTATCCTCACAACAGCCTTGTGGGGTAGATTAGGCCCAGGCTCACCCCAGCGAGCTTCATGACCGAGTAGGGATTTGAACACAGGTCCTGCACTAACATAATACTACTACCACACCATGTTGGATTATCACACTGGTGTCCTAGTTCTCTTTGGAAATGTTATGGTGGCAGAATGGAGCTGATGAGAAACTGTAGGTGGAATAACTTCTTTGCACATGTGAGCCTATCAAACAAATGGAACAACTTGGGGGGGTGCAATAGCTGAATGACTACATTTCATGGCACCATGCAGACAACGGTTTTGCACTAGTGCAAATATTCACAAGGGGGTAGCCATGTGAGTCTGGGCATCTCCTGAAGAGAGCGATCGCTGGGGGTTGGGAGGGAGGGAGGGAGGGAGAGATCAGGGCTGCAGACTAATTATGACCTTGTCACTAATGGCTGATGAAGCATCCATCACCATCTGGCCTCTGACTGGTCACAGGGATTGACTGACTCAGAGCAGCTATCTCAATCCTGGGGCTAATTGTTTTTGTTAAACTAGCAGACTCCCTACAGGCCTGCTCTGTTATCTTTTGCCCCCCTCCTTGCTTACACAGAGTAAATGGATTAGTTGGCAGATTGCAGAGAATAGATATTGAGGTCTGGCTGGTGGCAGCAGTGTAGGTGATAGCCCCTCACCCTTTTCTCTGGTCTTCCCTGCACTAGATCTTTCCTATAGCATCAGCGGCTAAAAACTAAACAAAGATGAGCACCGGAGTATCATCACCATGTAAGTCAAAGTGAAATATCAAAAACCTAAGACTTACAGGTTCAGAGTGATTGAAGTTGGAATCCCACGACCATTTAAACTGGGAATAAGTGCTATGGAACTTAATTGTGCTTACTTCTGAGTAGACATGCACAGGATTGTACTGTTAAGCTCCACTGAACACACTGGGGATTACTTCTGGGCAACTAAGCATAAGGCTTCACTGTTAATTCATCACGGTTAATATTAAATCAAATAGGGGTGGGGAAAGAAAAGATTTTAAGTGCTTGTCAATCAAGCCAGTTCTTTGGCATGTTTTGACCAGGACATAGAAAGGATTCATTAACAATCAATTGAGCGGAAAATTGTGTGCATGCTTCTCCTTAAATAAAGCAAAAGTAAAACAGGGGGTGGGAAATCTATGGCCAATGGTCAAGGATGATGGGAGTTGCAGGCCTTCAACATATGATGGGCCAAATGTATCCATTTTCTGGACTGCAATGTGTGAACCACACCATGGTTGCAGTTGAGCTTCATTCCAAGAATTTCACAGGAGTTCCATAATTCAGTTTGAGGCCTCCTTCCCATGTGATCTCCTTGGCGTGACTCCTCATGCACCACTTTTTCTTCCATCAATAACACAGGGTCTACTTGTGGATCCAGGGCATTCACCTGCCTTGGGGGGGGGGGAAGCCCCATGAAATATTCAGTTCTGATCAGCAGCTGCCTTTGTAGGTTGGCCGACCCTTTCCCTTTCCTAAAAGGTTTGCTATCGAGTCTCAGGGCGCGAGCAAAAGTTGATGATGTTGAGGGGTCAGGGCAGAGGTAGATCAAATGTCTGGAGAACACAGGCAGCCTTCATCTCTCTGGCCTCCGAGCTGATGGCTGAACAAATGAGCTGTAATCATCCCCCTGGGGAACGGCAGCACCGAGAGAGAGCAGGGCCTGGCAGCAGTTTTGTTAAAGCTGCGTTGGAGAGAAATGGTGCGGACAGATTCAATGTCACAGGTGGGTTTTGGTTACAGCATCCTGGCACCATCCCGGGCTCGCTGATGGGTCTTCAGCACCTTTCCTCGCCTCTTCTCGTTCGGCTGATGGTTCCACCTTTGGAGAGAGAGGCTAAAGATTAAGAGGATGACAAATAGGCATCTGCTTACACAGCGTTAAGGGCTAATCTGCCCTGCTATACTGCAAGAGCCTTGAAGAGAAGGGATTCTCACACAGGCGTAATACGCACACATGCACAACTACCCCAGAGACGCTCAAGGAGAGCAAGGCTCTCCATGGTTTGTCAAAGGACACCTGGTAGGCTTAGACTGGAGAGCTCTTCCCATGGAAGATTCTTGGCTGGGTTGAAGAGTTCAGTCACTATTGGAGAGACGTGGCCAGCCCACAGACTGGATGCAGCTGCTTCTGGGCCAACACCTGAGGAGCAAGAGGCTGGATTAGTTAACACAGCAAAGGACAAGTTGCAGAAAGCAGGGAGCTGAGGCATCCAGCCTCTCAACAGGATCAGCTACCAGCATGGCTGTCTCCCCTACAGACTCAACCATGAGCAAACTGATGGAGGGCAACCAGGCAGGTAAGTAAGTGGCATCACTGCCCTTTGGACCATGTTTCTTTCTTCCCCCTGCCCCCTCCATTCAGGTCTGAGGTTTCTTCTTCTTCCTTGGAACAGGCCTAGTTGCAATGGACTGGAAGGGCACCAACGGGTACTGCAATTGGGTACCAAAGGCACTGGAAGCTGTGGCAATGGATGTGGCTGATGATGCTAGTAAGCGTTAGAGCCAAAGAGAACCTCTCTCTCATCATGATTTCATAGTTTTCACCTCTGAGCTCAGATGGTGAGCTCATCTCATCTGAACAAGGCAGGCTTTCCTGGAGCATAGTAATAGGAATATACTTTATACCAAGGCAGATCATTGCTCCTTTTACCTTAGAATTGTCCACCCATTGGTAGCAGCTTGCCAAGATTTAAGACATGGGTATTTCCCAGCTCTACTTGAAGATGGCAGGGATGAAACAGGAGATCTTCTGGATACAAAGCATGCAATCCGTCACTGAGCAAGAGCCAGACCTCTTCTGAAGAATCAGAAAGTGAGGGAGGTCACTGGAGTCCCACAAATGAAACTAATAAAACTTCAGTTCAGGTGATGCCTTTAATCCTCAAGGCCACCACATGTGGAGGAGTGGTCTTTGTTTATTTGCACGTAATGAATTCATTTAGAGCAGCAGTTTTCATCTGGGGACTCATTTCTTCATTATGATTTTTTACCATAGATTTGTATGGTTGTGGTACAGCTGTTGTGACCCATCTTAAGTCAGGCCCCAACCCAATAACGGGGCCCGACCCACTAGGTGCAGACCAATAATTAAGAGATGTGGACATTTCAAACTGCCAATTTTCTAGCACTCGGATAAAACTGAACAAATGAGTGATTAAACAAAACTCTCCTGCCACTCCCTGAAAAGAAAAGGTGGACCAGAGTGGCTAAATACTTTTCTTTTAAACTATCAGGTAAATTTAGGATCCTGAGAGCCAAAGTAGACTAGTGATCAGTGTGATGGGCTAGGATATGGGAGACTTGGGTTCAAAGAGGCCCTCCATCTTTGAACCCAGTCACTATCTCTCAGCTTGGAGTACCTCACAGGGTTGCTGTGAGGAGAGCATGAGAGGAGAACAATGTATACCACGCTGAACTCTTTTACAGGTGAAATGGGATATATAAAAGAATAATTTTTTAAAAAAAATCTGAAGATAAAAAAAATGAAGTAGAGTTTTGTTACCTAGCTAGTTTATTATGGCTTGACCCATCAGATACACTGAGCAAACCTAGAAATTGGTGGGGAAGTATAAACTCAGTTTGTGGTGTGGTGTAGAATAAACAAAATTAACAGTCTGATAACTAAAGATAATGATGTCAGGAAAGCAGCTGCCTGTTATTACTTTGCTCTGAGTTGTGCTTTGATATAGTAAAATATCATATGTGATTGACGGGGTCCTGTTGACCCGGGGGAGGGGAATCCTAATTGTATCTCTGGTATATTAGAAACTCAATTTTTAAAAAAGTTTTTTTAATTTAAAAGAGAAGCTGCCTGTTGGTTACCTTCCAGGTGCAATGCTTCGCTTTGGTTTAGTTTTACTTATTCTTGTTTAACTTGTAACTGTTTTACTTGTAACCTCCCTTGGGACCTTGTGTTGAAGGGTGGAAAATAAAGTGTGTGTGTGTGTGTGTGTGTTTCACACCAGTGGACTGTTGTTGTACAAAATAAAGCATAAGCAGGTGGCTGGTAACTTTGCCACACAATAGATTGTGCAATCTGTTGCACAAGTTTCTTTTAGCACAACTGTTGTGTTGGATTCTTCTGTTGTGCAATATTAAAACTCACCTGTCCGTCCCTGTGCCGGTGGACAGGGGACACAGGATACAGCCCACTGTGTGTGTGTGTGTGTGTGTGTGTGTACACATACGTTTTGTTCATTATTCCAGTTCTGTCCCCAACAGATGGAAGTGAGTCTTTTACTGCTCTTTTACAGAGGGGGTGTGTATGTCAAGTAAATATAGGGGTCCTGCAATGGGGGAGCAAGCTCCTTTCCTGCCCCCCACCTTTCCCCTGGATTTGTCGTCATTCAAAACATGTGGAGATCTTCTCTCTTTTTCATTTCATTTTAAAATTATCTCTATCTTCCTTTCTTCTTTTATATGCTTTGCTTTTGTTTATGTTTTGTTTTGTTCTTTGGTGTCCTCTGCTCTGGGTTAAGGAGGGTACGCACTTGAAGGTGATGTCTGGCTGGTGTAAGACCCTGAGTGAGAGGCAGGGAAGGAGAGATCTCCACCACTTTCGGTGAGAGACAAGGGTTAAGATTTACCTTCGAGAGAGCTTTGTATTCCCCCCCTTTCTCTTTTCCTTTCCTTTTTTCCTTTCCCCCCTTCTTTTTTATTATTTAGTTTGTTTTTCATTGTATTTTATGGTGAAAACTTTCAATAAAAATCTATGCAGAAAACTCAAAACATGTGTGGAGAAAATGCCCCTGTTTCATTGTGTGGTGCTCATTAAGATGCCTAGATAGCTCCGTTGATAAGTGCATGCTGCTGATAACACCAGGGTTGCAGGTTTGATCCCCGTATGGGAGAGCTGCATATTCCTACATTGCAGGAGGGTTGGACCCCCAGGGCCTCTTTCCAACTCTACAATTCTATAATTCTATGATTCCGTGATCTGTCCAGCCCCCTGATACCTCTCTTGTTTGTCACTAATAGGACTCAGCCTGACTTCCAGCAAAGCTGGCAGCCCCATGTTGCTGTGCAAGGTGTGTGGCGACACCAGCAGTGGAAAGCACTATGGTATCTATGCTTGCAATGGCTGCAGTGGGTTTTTCAAACGTAGCGTCCGCAGGAAGCTCATCTACAGGTAAGGGTGACATCTGTCCCCAGTAGGGCTCAGAATATTTAATGTATCAATGCATTAATGTGTTAATTGCATTTATACCCCCATCTTTCCTTCTGCCTAATGGTAGGGCTGGTCCCTCTCAACTCCTCCCTCCCTTCTCTACTTTAAAACAGTTATGGGGGCTCCAGGTTTGATCTGAATTAGGGATCTGGATTTTACCAGACCCATGCCAGAATTCAAACCACTGCACCACAGTCATCACCAGCTCTCCTCAGTCCCAGCAAGCATAGTCAATAGACAGGAATGCTGGGAATTGTAGTTCAGTGACATCTGGAGGACCACATGTTCCTCATCCCTGATCTGCCGCCTGATCCAGTGCACTGCATTGTTCCTTTTGACAGGTGCCAAGCTGGCACAGGTATGTGTCCGGTGGACAAAGCTCACAGGAACCAGTGCCAAGCCTGCCGGCTGAAGAAATGCCTGCAGGCTGGAATGAACAAGGATGGTGAGTAGAGACCGGGAGACCAGGAAAATGCTCTCAGCTGTTAGGCTTCCAATGCATAATACATTAATTGTGGGGACGTTGGTGGCGCTGTGGTTTAAACCACTGAGCCTCTTGGGCTTGCTGATTGGAAGCTTGGTGGTTCGAATCCCCATGATGGGGTGGGCTCCCGTTGCTCTGTCCCAGCTCCTGCCAACCTAGCAGTTCGAAAGCATGCCGGTGCAAGCAGATAAATAGGTACCGCTGCAGCAGGAAAGTAAACGGCATTTCTGTGTGCTTTGGTTTCCGTCACAGTGTTCTGTTGCAGCAGAAGCAGTTTAGTCCTGCTGGCCACATGATCCAGAAAGCTGTCTGTGGACAAATGCCAGCTCCCTTGGCCTGAAAGCAAGATGAGCGTTGTAACCCCATAGCCGCCTTTGACTGGACTTAACTATATGGCTGGTGGGCGCACAGCTTCCCTCCCAAGCCTCTGCAGGGATTGCTCTCCTCCCTAGGAGGCTTGGGAGGGAAGCTGCGTGCCCACCAGTCTTATCGTTGGCAGGGTGCAGCTGGCAGGCATGCAGGGAAAGGGGAGGCCACCGGCAAAGCTGCGCAGCTCCCCCACTTGCTGGGGCACCCCTAAGAGGCTGGCACTCTGGCGCGACGCACCACTAAGCCCTATGGTAAAGACGGCTCTGCTGCCAACCCTTTGATCTGTTTGCTTTGTTGCTGACCTCCTGCCTGTCCTGCCTCAGCTGTGCAGAATGAACGCCAGCCCCGCAGCACAGCCCAGGTGCGACTCGATGCCGTTGACCTGGATCCTGAGAGGCAAGCTGAACACCTGACCACAACGCGGGATGTCCTGCTGCCACCACCGCCGCCACCCTGCCCCTCCCTGCCGAGCCACAGGGGCCCCACCACCTGCTCTGCAACGGGGACTCCAAGGGGCCGACCCACAACTCCTCCCAGCAACCACCGCTTCATGGCCAGCCTGATGACAGCCGAGACTTGTGCCAAGTTGGAGCCAGAGGATGGTCAGTGGCTGGGCATGGGTGCAGGGGGGGGGAAGGCAGGCAGTATGCCAAGGAAGTGTTAGGGCACATCTGGTCATCCAGTTGTTGTTGAACTACAACTCCTAGCCTCCCCACTCATTGTCCAACAACAACTAGAGGTCTACAGGTTCCCCACTGCTGCTTCTGAACATGTGGCCTTGGTGACATCCTACTTCCAGCTTCCTTAAACCCACAGAAGACAGCCGGTGCAGATGCATTGATACACACCATGGCTCGTTTTGAGTGGCTGTACTGGATTCAACCAAGCCTGTGAGACCTTCCTTTGCTGCCCCCTAGTGAACATTGATAGTACTGCCTCAATTGGGCTTCTGGCTCCTCCTAGTTTTGCCTTGTTGTCCACTGAAGCTTCTAGTCTCTGCAGTTACAGTGGCCAGGTGTCCATCTTAATAGGAGGACTGCTTTATGTAGTCATTTATCTGGAGGGCTGTCAGAGGAGAGCTCGGTTAGAAGGGCTTTTAGACCAACTGAAGAACCATAATTGAAATTGTCCATCAACGCTGTGCATTTATGCCAAGTGATCTTGGGTAGCGATGTGTTAAGTGGCTGCCCTCTGCAAACATTTCCTTCAGAACAGATGTGTCTCTAAACTTGCAAATCTGCAGCTCTACAGTGTTGACAGGATGATTCTCCCTTCTGCAGCCGAGGAGAATATTGATGTCACCAGTAACGAGCCAGAGCGCCCAGCGGGAGAGGCGCACGTGTCCCCATATCCCCCCTCCAGCTCCGAGAGTGTCTATGAAACCTCTGCCCGGCTACTCTTTATGGCTGTAAAATGGGCGAAAAACTTGCCGGTCTTCTCAAACCTGCCCTTCCGAGACCAGGTGAGTTCCTGGGCCAAGTCCAGTTGTGGATTACTTGGGCTCAGACTAAGGCAGGGGTGGGGGATGGCAACATATGTTGAAGAGGGGCCGTAATTCAGAGGATGAGCATTTGCCTTGCCTGCAGAAGGTCTTGATCGCTGGCATTTTTAGGCTGGGCTGAGAGAGAATCTCCTTTTTTCTCTTTTGTTGAAGAACAGGATATTTTAATGCCATCATCATCACAGAGGTGTCTGTGGAGGGGATATATTGATTGAAAATGTCTAGTAAACCAGGTCGGTAGTTGGGCTCCTATTGAGGGTATTTGGAGAGCCAACATGACAGTGATGTAGGATTGAGGATTGGAGTGACAATTCTGATTCTATGGCAGTGGACAAAACTTTATTGTAATTTTTGAATAAATGTGCTAGAGAGAGAGAGAGAGAGAGAGAGAGAGAGAGAGAGAGAGAGAGAGAGACTCTAGCCTGAAACCCTGGAGTGTCTGCCAGTCAGTGTAGACAAGACTGAGATGGATGACCTAATGATCTGACTCAGTATAAGACAACTTCCTATGTTTCTATTCTGGGCTCTTACAGCCCAGAATAGAAACATAGGAATAAGAGCCCTCTCTTACTGGGCTCTTATTCTCTTCTACTTGAGCTTATTCACTGAACCAGGAAGCATCCAATTGTACCAAAATGCTAGCTTGATGTGTTAACTTCTACAGGTAAAAATAGCACTTGCTCTAAATCAGGGTGGGGAACCTCTGAAGGCTCCCCCCTCCGTGGCCCACGAGGCCCTTTTGGCTAAGCCACACCAACTTGCCATGTACCTAACATTATATATGACATCAGGTATGGGGCAGTTGAACACACAGCTAGGCTAAAGGGGATTTGCAGGAGCGACTGCTGATCAATGGCATCTGCAAAGGCTTGCACATAGCACTCTGTAAGCACCAATGTTCAGCTAAGCCTAAATTTACATATATTGCTAAACAGTGATATTGACAAATTTAGAACCAGTTGTATCTTTATTTATAACTGAGGTGGTGAACTTGTCGACCTCTCTGTCTTATTGGACTCCAACCCCTATCAGCCCCAGCCAGAATGGTCAATTGGCAGGGATGAATGAGTTGGTAGCCACAGATCCCCAGTCCAATTTATTAAAAATGGGGAAATAAGGCACAGGCATTTTGGCTAAGTTGTCAGACAACAAGGTAATTGGTTTTGTGAAAACTGGTGCTTGTTGGAAGTGTAAAATACATTTCTGTGAATATAGAGCATCCATAATCTGTTATCTAGTCTAGGGTGTCTTGTCTTTTGCAGGTGATCTTACTGGAGGAAGCCTGGAGTGAGCTGTTCTTGCTATGTGCCATCCAGTGGTCTTTGCCCCTGGAAAGCTGCCCCCTCCTCTCTGTGTCAGAGCTGACCCCCACCCTCAATGGAAAGGTCGTGTCTTCAGGAATGGACATTCGTGTCCTGCAGGAAATAATTGCACGTTTCAAAGCGCTTGGTGTGGATCCCACTGAATTTGCCTGTATGAAGGCAATTGTACTGTTCAAACCAGGTGAGCGGGTTTTCAGGAGGAACATGTAAATCATAGAGAAAATTGTGCATGTCCCCAAAATTACAGTTATAATTTAAAAGCGCCCCCCAGTAATGTTTTCCATGCAAATTACATCATTGTTTTTGAATAATTTATCCTGGCTTTGTTCCTTTCCCCTCCTTGTGCTTAGCACTGGAGGACCACTCTTCTGATGTCTCAGCAGGCATTTCCCATATACTTTCAAAGAAGTATTTGCATTCATGAAAGCTAGAAGCTCAAGATGGTGTGCCAAATGAGTTACTGTCCATTTCCAATCCTCCTTCAAGGCTGCTGCATCCTCTGTCTTCAAAATATTCCATGAGACCCTAATCCTGTTTTAAGATCTACAGTAGAACAGCGTCGGTGTACACATATTTTCCTTAAGCAGAAGTTTTCTTTTTCTTTTCTTTTGCAGAAACACGCGGTCTGAAGGATCCAGACCAGGTTGAGAATTTGCAGGATCAGTCTCAAGTGATGCTGGGACAACATAACCAATTACATTACCCCAGCCAGCCAGTCAGGTACCTACATCTGAGTGCTCCTCCTTGCTGTTATCTTCAATTCCTCCTTCTGAATGCATTCATTCCAAACCAGCCCAGGCAACATGGGAGTGCTAGCTAAAGCCAATGTTTCACCAACTTGGGTCTCCAGCTGTTGTTGGACTACAACTCCCATTATCCCTGACCACTAGAAATTGTTGGAAGAAGGTCGTCTCCATTTCTCCGCTCTCAAATGTGGTGGAAAATTTTGAGAGATAATTTTAACCTAACCTAAACTTTTGTCTCCTCCTCCCAGGTTTGGAAAGCTGCTTCTGCTTCTGCCTTCGTTGAAAGTTATTTCTTCAGACCGCATTGAGCTTCTTTTTTTTCGTAGGACCATCGGGAACACTCCCATGGAGAAGCTGCTCTGTGACATGTTCAAGAATTGACACCTCCAAGATTCCAGAATGCCAGTATTTCTATTTTAAAAACCTTGAACCAAGCACAAGACACAAGCAAATGCTTCCTCGTGAATAGGCTTTGGCTTGTCATAGACTGGAAGGTGGCATTTGGCTGCAGACCAGGAAAGTCGCTAGGACCCAAACACTGAATTTTTACAAGGAGTGTTAATAGTTGCCTGAAGTCACACCCTCTTATTATGGGGCCCCTTCTTATTCTTTCCAAAGAGGCAGTAGGTTTGGGTGTATGTATGTATGTATGTATGTATGTATGCATATGCATGGAGATGCACTTTGTACCTGCTCAGAGAACTCACCATTGTTTCCATGGCTGAGTTTTGGCCTTGAAATCAAGTTATTGGACTCAAATTCATCTCTAATTTTAACTATAAAACTCGCTTCTTAGTGCTGTAAAGTGCTTCTAGCCCACAAAGCTTAGGATGAACAAGTAGCACATTTTCCTTTAAAGACAATCAAGTGTACTTCTACAATTCATAGAAGAAGAAACACAGTGGAAGGGGGCTTTTTCCTCTACCTTACTAAAGGACAGCAGTATGGAAGAGTATAAGAACAGAATGATTGGAAAACGCAGCCTCTAAAAGGGGGCTTCCTGATTATTTAAAAATTAAGATTTTTCTTGGCTAACATCCTGTATTGAAGTAAATTTTGAGGACAATCAAGCCACACACCACAACTTGTACATGAAACAAAGAGAAGGTTGGGGCACATGCCTGGCCCTAAGCCAACAGAAATGCTTGACTCTGCCCTTTCATACTAAGTGGGAGATGTTAGTTCTGAACTTTTTATGTGACAAATGGGCCCAGTTTGAAGGTAGAATCTCTTTCTTAGGGGCTGCTGATTCAGGAGTTGAGGAATTTGCTGGCTCTTGGGCTTGTATAAGTATTAATAAACTGGAAGCTTGTATACTTTTTGAATTATTTTTTAAAAATCTGTTTACTGTTTGCAGTTCTGACCCATTCACCTCATGTGGAAAGTCATGTAGCTGAACAGATCCAGTTTCAGGCCTGGATTGGGGCTCATAATCTATAGTTCAGATGGGTTTGAGAGTGTTGCCATTCTACTGCAATCCAATCCTAGACTTACTACAGCGGACACCCACTGTCTTTCTAGAGATTGCCAGACTGCAAACTGGAGAACATCATTTATATTGAAGAACTAATGATCCAGTTCTGTGGAAGACCCCTGCTCCCTTTGGTTAGGCTTCAATTTCATGACAATCAATAAGGTTGTTGATGACAGATGACAACAAACTGAACTTGCCGGAATGTCAGGAAAAAACTCTCTTTATAACCAATGACTAATGCCTGGAATAGAGGCATAAGGAGAGAAAGCATGTAGCATTCTGCTAGGGACAGAGTAATGAAAACCTATAACCAGTTCTCCTGCTCTTGTTTTTCTAGAAGGGGAAATATAAGAAGTTTATATGGAAGGGCAGTCATACTCAGGTTAGCGGGATGAAAGCATCCAACATGATAAGAAAAGGGTTAATGTTCACAATGGCTATAGCATGCCAAGAAAGGATTCTGGGATGTCATATACCTTTTTCCAGAGGCAGTTTGTACAGTTATGAACAGTCTTAAGTGTGACAGCAGCTGAGCAGTCCATCTGTTCAGCTGCTGTCTGCCTCAGAGTTAGTCAGTCTGAAGGAGTTTTAGATACAAATCTATGTAAGATGTATTAGTAACCTGAGTAACACCTGCCTGTCTTGTACATTTAAACTAACGAGTGCAAATACACTGAGTAAAAGTTATTTGTTATTTAAACTTTAAAAAGAGAGTGTCTTGCATAATTTTAAATGACCCCATCTCTTCTTTCACATAGCCCTGTAAATGGGAACTAGAGTCTAATTCCCACAAGATTCTGCTACTGCAGGCATCAGACATTTGCTAGGGTGGCAGGTGTGATGGAAAAGTTTGTTTGTTGGGCAAACTGGGTCACCAAGTGTTTTTCTTTCTTTTCTTTTTCCTGCCAGCAACTGGTTAACAAATGGCAGCGTCTGATTGGCTGGGATTCCAGGGGTGGCAGTTTAAAAGGAGAGGATTTGGAGAGACAGGTTGTGAGGTTGGGAGATAGAGAGTTGGTTCTGGGCAGAAACATCCACTCTCAGGAATATATCAAAAGCTACAGAAAGGAGTCTCTGAGCTTAGTGTGAAGGACAGTGTGTGGTGTCCCGTGAGAGTAATAGGCCAGGAAATAAGTGGGAGGCTGAGCCAAGAGAAGTAGAAGCTGTAAGAGAGACAGTCTACTTAGGTCTCATTCCAGTCAGGAGGGGAGAGATTCTTCTAGAAAGAGAAGACTCCCAAACCAGTCAAGAGGGGTGTGGAAATCCCTTGGGTCTGTCACTTGGAGTACCTCAGGAGTAGGATTGTCAAAGGGGTGTGTAACTGACAGAAAGTGCCACCTTGTTTAAGAACCAAAGTGTTAAGCGACAACAGCCATGCAACACCTGAGAAAGAACTGAAGTGAAATAACTGGAAATAAGCTGAGCATTTACCATTTAGTCTAAAAACCTGTAATCTCTACCTGAAGCAAATTAACTGAACATAAGCAAGTGATGTTTAAAAGAAGCTGTGCTTGATTAAGAGTCCATAAAATCAGTTAGATTTAATATAAATGTTATTAGGTAAACGGTTACCTGAACATTATAACCTGAAGTACCCTTTGTTTTACCCACTTTGTGTCAAAAACTTCCTTTGTCTAATAAAACCTTTCTTGTTTGTTTGATCAAATCCTGCTTGAGACTCCAAATCATTAAGTTTTCCCTCACACAAGTCCCCCACTAGATAATCTGGGGTAAATTGAAGAAGTTCATGTATTTAAGTACCGTGAAACGACCGTTGTGCCGTCGCAGCAAGTATAACTATCCTAGCCCCAGACACAAAGCCAATCGACACAATCGATTTAACAATACTTTTTTGCTGAACATCAGTATTAAGCAAAATCAAAACAAAATCAGAGACTACTTGAAGCTCTTTGATAGTATTATGGTTACTGAAGTTCAATGTAAATATGTTGGGTTTTTTTAAACTCCCCCCCCCCCACAATGTGGGACATAACTTTCCCCCCTTTAATGTGGGACATTTAAGCCAGGAAGGTAAATGGGGGGGGGGGGATGCTAGAATTAGATTTGAGGGCTTGGCAGTGTGAAACAATGGAAGGTAGTCATTTTTTGCATCCTTATGAGGCAACTCCCACCAGTACCTTGGATTTGGAACTTTCAGGAGTTTGTCTTTGTAATGAAATAGCTGTGAATGTGGGGGGGGGGGGAGCTCCAGTTCTTGACTTAATGTATGTATCTTTTAAAGTGGACCTTTGAGGAGCCCCATTTTTTAAACAGACTGATTGTGACAGCAGCCCTCCTTACTGTTTCTCCACCCATCTGCATTTTGCTTAAGTAATGTGATTCTGGGAATGACTGTTTTCCCCTGCCCATCAGTCTGTTTGTAGAGCTTTTTGCTCATCTAGCAGCACCGAGTGTCCAGGGCATAGCCAGAAAAACAAAGAATTCTACCTGCTAATATTTATGCTGCCTATCCTGTGCCCTGAAAACAGAACACCTGTTGTGGTTATGGCTACTGAACATACGGCACAAATATCTGGCACTGCCCTACCGTACTTGGAATCAAACTGGCATTCGTTATTCTGACCTTTTTTTTCTTTTTTTAAGCCCAAAAGCTCTCTTTTTCCACAACAGGTATGCACCTGACAGTTGTCTGAGAAATGCTTGGGTAGAAATGAACATTTTTTAATATCTGACAACACAATGAAGTGAATAAGGAATAGCTTCGAACAAGAGCTTGGTCTCTTTTATGCTGCGGGTCCTTCTAAGAGGGCCCATGCTTATGAATCCCAGTGCAAAAACCCAATCCCTGAATTCGGCTGTTTTGTCAGCTGGGATCAATAATAGGTCCCAGAACTTGAAGCAGCAAGATGCCATGGATGAGATGTTAGAATTTAACCAGTTCCCCTGCTCTTGGCTTTTCTAGTAGGGGAAAGATAAGACGTTTATATGGAAGGGCAGTCACACTCAGATGAAAGCCTCCAACATGCAAAGAAAAGGGTTAATGTTCACAAGGGCTATAGCATGCCAAAATAGTATTCTGGAATGTCATATACCTTTTTCCAGAGGCAGTTGGTACAGTTATGTCAGTTATGAACAGTCTTATGTGTGACAGCAGCTGAGCAGTCAGTCTGTTCAGCTGGTGTCTGCCTCAGACTTAGTCATTCTGTAGGAGTTTTTGTCTTAGATACAAATCTATGTAAGATGTATTAGTAACTTGAGTTACACCTGCCTGTCTTGTACATTTACAAGTACACTGAGTAAAAGTTATTTGTTACTTAAACTTTAAAAAGAGAGTGTCTTGCGTAATTTTTATAGGAGGGGAAAGGGAACTAATTAAAAGGTTAAACAACCCAGTCTTTTCTTTCGCATAGCTCTGTAAATGGGAACTAGAGTCTAATTCCCAACAAGATTCTGCTACTGCAGGCATCAGGCATTTCCTAGGGTGGCAAGTGTGACGGAAAAGTTTGTTTGTTGGGCAAATTGGGTCACCAAGTGTTTTTCTTCTTTTCTTTTTCCTGCCAGAAAACGGTTAACAAATGGCAGCGTCTGATTGGCCAGGGTCCAGGGATGGCAGTTTAAAAGGAGAGGATTTGGAGAGACAGGTTGAGAGGTTGGGAGATAGGGAGTTGGTTCTGGGCAGAAACATCCACTCTCAGGAATATATCAAAAGCTACAGAAAGGAGTCTCTGAGCTTAGTGTGAAGGACAGTGTGTGTGGTGTCCCGTGAGAGTAATAGGCCAGGAAATAACTGGGAGGCTGAGGCTGAGCCAGGAGAAGTAGAAGCTGTAAGAGAGACAGTCTACTTAGGTCCCAGTCCAGTCAGGAGGGGAGAGATTCTTCTAGAAAGAGACGACTCCCAAACCAGTCAAGAGGGGTGTGGAAATCCCTTGGGTCTGTCACTTGGAGTACCTCAGGAGTAGGATTGTAAAAAGGGGTGTGTAACTGACAGAAAGTGCCACCTTGTTTAAGAACCAAAGTGTTAAGCGACAACAGCTATGCAACACCTGAGAAAGAACTGAAATAACTGGAAATAAGCTGAGCATTTACCATTTAGTCTAAAAACCTGTAATCTCTACTTGAGGCGAAGTAACTGAACATAAGCAACTGAAGTTTAAAAGAAGCTATGCTTGATTAAGAGTCCATAACATTAGTTCGGTTTAGTATAAATGAAGGTGAAGTTACCTGAAATAACATTATAACCTGAAGTACCCTTTGTTTTACCCACTTTGTGTCAAAAACTTACTTTGTTTAATAAAACCTTTCTTGTTTGTTTGATCAAATCCTGCTTGAGACTCCAAATCATTAAGTTTTCCCTCACACAAGTCCCCCACTAGATAATCTGGGGTAAATTGAAGAAGTTTGCGTAACTGGTGTACCGTGAGGTGGTTGCACTATATGTAAGTGAGGGATGGCCCGACGGTACCAGTGTGAGAAAGGTTAAAAAGAACTATGCAAGAATATGTCGTGGTTATGAGAAATTGGTATAGATAAGACTCAAGCTTTAAGTTTTAGGGTTTTTTATAGTAAGATAAGGTTAAAATAGATTAAGGTAATTTAATGACAGAATATTATGAAAAATGGGAAGGATTTGCTGTGATAATCAATAACTAGAATACAAAAAAGGGAGGTGTGAGGAGGTCCATGAAACAAGTTAATGAAAGATAAAGATTTGGGAATACTGGATTTGTTTTTAAATTTTTTGTTTATTTTTGCTTTTTGATTTTGATGTATTTGTGTGATTTGTTTTTCTCTTTGATTTTTGTTTTTATTGACTGGTATTGTTTAATTTCTCTTTTTGTCTACTTTTTTCTTTGTTTCTTTGTAATTTTAAAATCTTCAATAAATATTATTTAAAAAAAAAAAAAGAGAAAGGGCTGTTGTGCCGTCGCAGCAAGTATAATGATCCTAGCCCCAGACACAAAGCCAATTGACACAAACAGAAAATCCTAAATGGTAGACTTTTCCTATGAAAGTACCATTGCAGAACATCTAATGATCCTAATGAAAAATCATATGTTTGAATACTTTTCTGTGTTTAAATACCTAGCAACCTTCCTGCATGTAAAAAAGTAGTACATTAGGGGAGGGGATCTCTGGAGAGAGAGAGAGAGAGAGAGAGAGAGAGAGAGAGAGCTCCTGCCACCTAGTGATTAAAATGTGCCCTTACAGTCTGAAGTGGCATAGTCCCAGAACCACATAATTTATATGGCCTTGTTAACACTTCCCTGCTTCTAACTTAGGTTTCATGCTCTCAATATTCCCCTCACTGTCTCCCAAAGACACAAAAGCCATTGTCTAGATGGTTGATTTTGATCATCACCATGTATGGAAAACATCTGCCACAATCACTTTATTTTCAATTGTTTTCTTCTTTAATAAGTTAGAAGTTATTTGTACATAAAGTCATTTTTGCACAGCCTTGTTCCAGGAAAGAGAAACAAAAATAACATTAATTAAAAAAACTAAAGAAACCTCCAGACATGAAATTACAATGTGCCAGCTGACTGCGTAACTGCAAGCCAGCTGGTACAGTGAGCAAAATAAAGCATTTTCCTTTATAGAATTCTTTAAACATGTAAGATTTATAGAGTATAACACAGAAAAATATATCCTTTTACAATACATAAGTCTTTTAAAATTTACACTCAGTATACTTATAAACTACTTTTAAAAATCCATTAAAAATAACTATATGCAGGTCAACATCCTTTCTAGTTGTGAGTACATTCACTTAATACCATGAATGGGGAGAAAAAATTCCAAGACCCTGTACAGTGGTACCTCGGGTTACATATGCTTCAGGTTACAGACTCCGCTAACCCAGAAATAGTACCTTGGGTTAAGAACTTTGCTTCAGGATGAGAACAGAAATCGTGCTCCGGCAGTGTGGCAGCAGCAGGAGGCCCCATTAGCTAAAGTAGTGCTTTAGGTTAAGATGGTACCACTGTATCAAAAACAAAACAAACAGTGCACCAACCAAAACTCTGGCTTGGACCCATCTGAATTATGTAATTGTATCTCCTCCTCCCCCAACAAGGCCTACATTAAGACATAAATTTCAGCAATTGACTGAAATACAGTTTAAAATCGAATTAAAATCAAAATAAGTTCAGGTGGCGACCCACAAATTATAACTATAACTATAGGAGTTGGAAACCTTAAGTACTCACCAGGGTCAGCTATTTGTATGAGCCAGTGAGAAGAGTTAGAGAGGCCACTTGTATGCAGGGTCTTGTAAAAGGAGAGGGGTCAGACTGAGCCCCGACCAAAGGCCTGGTGGAACAGCTCCGTCTTGCAGGCCCTGCGGAAAGATGTCAAGTCCCGCAGGGCCCTGGTCTCTTGCAACAGAGCGTTCCACCAGACTGGGGCCAGTGGATGTGAAGTGGTCTATAAAATCCACATAGTAAAAATAAGAGACCAAGGAAAGGCCTCACCTTTTTCTAGATAGCTATTGTTCTTGTTATACTCCTGGGTTCACACCACTGTGTTAGCACCACCACCACAGTCCCAGTTAACAGCAAAGAAAAACTCAGAGCTAAAAGTGGAGCCACAGAAAAAAAAAAGCTCTGAAAAGCAGTCCCCATCCAAGGCTGCTCCTGACTCTGCCCTTCTCTCTAGGCTTTACTGCTTGGTTTGCTGAAGTGCAGGACTCCCATTCCACAAGCATCAGCTTTGCAGGTGAATGCATAACAGTAGGAATTCTCAGTGCAGAGATAAATAAACCATCAGTAGCCTGAGAAATTAACATGACTAGGCTGTGACACAGCCAAAGAGGCTACTGGAAGACCTGGACTCAAAGAAGATAAAACCTCAGTGATACCACAACAGTATAACAAAATCATCTCAAGCCAATTGTTCCGGCATTACTACTATCGCTTCCAAGCTTGCTTTTTCTACATTCAAACATTTAATACACGAGATCCAAGCAGCAAACCACTTAGTCTCTAGTATGGGGGGGGGGGGGAACCCACATTATCTATATTTTACTTGGATGGAATACCCTCATTTCTTGTTTGCTAAATTTTTGATAGCAGGCCCAGCAAATTTAGGCCCAAGCAAATTTAGGCCCAGCAAAACAGCTAGATTAAGATGGCTGTACTATTTATTAGAAATAAAATCCTATTTATTTTCGAGTTATTAGTACCCTAACTGTGTGTGACCTATCATCTATAGTTTATCAGAAATTGTGCAAATCTGGTTTATTCACAACACAGCACATGCACAATCCGGGGGATGGGGGAGGTTGGATCGGGCAGACCAGGGGCAACGTAAACCGAAACTGCTTCAAAGAATTACTTCCAAATGTATTTCCAGGCTTCCCAGTGAAAAGAAAAAGACTGCTAGTTACATACACAAAGAGTTAGCCACCCTGGTTCACAAAAACATACCCTGAGAATATCTCAAAGGATGATCACAGTTTTGCCCATGCTACATATGAATACATTACCTAAAGTCACATCAGCCTGAATATACTAAACATAGAAAGATGAAAAGGAACAGTTTAGACGTAGACCAGCAACTAAATTTTTCCTTAGGTTCATATTCATTACTTGTTTATCTAATGTGGTGGAAACCAGGAGTATAAAATTAGTGGGTGCTGTGGAACCAAATGGTTCATACTAGGGCACTTAAGTTATAGTAAGGGCCTTAGAAAATCAATATTGTTATGGCAGTTGCAACACAGGTCCTACATTATCCATATACTGTGAGGAAGATATGAACAGCTTTCTCCATGTGATAAGTGGGGCTGACAAAGAACCTATGCTGCAGAGTTGAAGACGAGAGCCTAGCAGACGACTCACTTTGCCATAGCAATCTGGATTTTCCATACCTAAAATTGAGGTCCTTCACTATCCAATAATGCAAGTTATATCAGGGAATACTGAAAACCCACTGCAAACTGAAGATGAAAGAAACCTTACCTCTTTGGGGCACTTGGTTGTGGTCCTCAGGCAGTACTTTCTGTGGCAAGCATGCTTGCATACTGAAATCAGGAACATGACAATTAATACACTTGAATGCTGCTGTATCGTGGCTGACACTGACAGGAACACATTTAAAAAGGGGGAATTGGTTAAGCACCCCATCACACCTGCTGATTCTAGCAACATCTGGAGAGTCACAGGTTCCCTACTCCTGGAACAGACCTTCCTAAATACTTGGTGCAGAATAATGCATTTAAACTAAACAATAAAAGAAGGAAGTTTTCAACTTACAACATCTGCTTCCTTCTTCCTTCTCTTTTTTCTTTCTGTTTTGGTTACCTGAAACAGAAGGAGCTAAATCAGAAATTAACAGGTTCAGAATTTGTTCTCCCAGTCACCCCTCCGGTTCATTCTGCCTCCTCATGTAACTTTCAATCCTTCACAAGCACTTTTCAAGTGCCCAGTTAATATCAGGTGGACATTTGGTATCTCACATAATGCTTCTCCCCTGCCCAGTACATCCCTGTGTCATTTCACTTCAAGCCTTCAGTACTCTAGCATTCCTAAGACACTGCTCAGTTAGCTCTGGGGTGGTTGGAGGTGTCTAGAATCCTGCTGCCAGGGTGATACCGGTGCCTTTAAAAAGATACCCAACAAAGGGATTAATAAATTAAAGAACAATCCTGCCCTACTTTAGTACTAAACAGCTGCCCTCTGCATGTTTTTCCATGCTTCCAGCTCTGTCCAAAAGACTTGGTTCTATTCTAGAATGGCAGCCATTTAAAAGGTGTGAGCACACAATTATGATATTGTTTTCAACTAAGCAGGGCTGGCCCCAATACATTTTGGCACCTGAGGCAAACCCCCATATGTTGTTGCCCTCCCTACCAGGGAAGAAGGAGTGAGGGAAGATCTACATCAGGAGCAAAGGGGCAAGAAAGATCTATATCGGGGTCTGTTGCCCTGGTGAATCCTGACACCTGAGGCAGTCACCTCACCTTGCTTCATGGGTGGGCCGGCCCTGAATAAATATCTGCAAAGAGTAAGGTTACCGTAACGTTCATCATAGAGTTTCAGTATGCTGATGACAACATAGTGTGTGCATGATCAAGGATGACCTCCAAACCATCCTAAATATCTTCGCAGAAGCTTACAAAAAGCTTGGCCTAGCACTCAACATCCAAAAAACAAAAGTGCTGCACCAACAAGTACAAAATAAAATTTCTGCAGTACCACAAATCCAACTCAATGGTGTAATGTTGGAAAATGTTAATCACTTCTCCTACCTGGGCAGTTATCTTTCCACAAGGGCCGACATTGATGCCAAAATCCAGCATCGTCTGAGTTCTGTGAGTGCAGCTTTCTCCCGATTGAAGTGCAGAGTGTTTGAGGACCAGGACATTCGCAGGGAAATCAAAATGTGTGTTTACAAAGCTATTGTACTACCAACCTTACTGTATGCTTGTGAAACATGGACCACTTATAAATGCCATCTCCAACTCCTTGAAAGATTCCATCAACAGTGTCTCCGAAAAATTTGACACATCACTTGGGAAGACAGGCAAACTAATACCAGTATACTGGAAGAAGCAAAGGTCACCAGTGTTGAAGCAATGATTCTTCAACATCAACTTCGTTGGACTGGTCATGTTGTGCGGATGCCTGATTATCGTCTTCCAAAGCAACTACTCTATTCCAAACTTAAAAATGGAAAGCGTAATGTTGGTGGTCAACAAAAGAGGTTTAAAGACTGTCTCAAGACAAATCTTAAAAAATGTAGTATAAACACCAACAATTGGGAAACACTTGCCTGCGAGCACTCCAATTGGAAACCAGCCTTTACCAAAGGCGTCATGGGCTTTGAAGACACTTGAACTCAGGACACAAGGGAGAAACATGCTAAGAGGAAGGCACGCTTGGCAAACCCTCTCCGTGATCAACTCCTGCCTGGAAACCAATGTCCCCACTGTGGAAGGACATGTGGATCCAGAATTGGCCTCCACAGTCACTCACTGTTAAAACCGTGTTCATGGAAGACAATCTTACTCGGCTACAGGTGATTGCCAAAGAAGAAGAAGCATTGGGATCTGCTGCTCCTGTGGATCCTGCCACCTGAGATGGTTGTTTCACCTTGCCCCATGGGGGGGCTGACCCTGCAGCTAAGTCCTATTCAAAGTAGACCGACTGAAATGAATGGACCTAAGTTAGTTACTGATGCTTCATGATCTTAATTTTGTGTTGATTACTGCAAGCTAACCTTTTCAAATTGCATTTGTTATTTAACATACTAGTTAGGGAGACTATGAGACATATTACAAACTACAAGGAAAGTGGTTAGTGCCAGGACCGCAGCAACAAATGCCCTTTCTACAAAACAAAGCTTTAAGAGGCAGTAAGGTCACAAGAGGGAGGCTCTTAAGGTACAGAAAAAGAATGTGATCCTTATTCCAGTGCAATGTAAGAGTAATAATTTGGTAGGATGTGCCAGACCAGTTTACCTTTAAGGCAGTACAATTCGAAGGCATATATTCTGTCATATATTCATCCAAAAACACCTTGAAGGTATTGACCCAGACCAGGATATGTGATTCACACCAGTCTCTATGTTCAAGCCTCATTGTTTCCTCTAGAATCTGTTCAAACAGGACATATAGGTCTTTGTACTGGACAGGGGTGTTGCAAGGGGGGTGCGGTCCATCCCAGGTGTCATGCCTGGGGGTTGACAAAATCCCCTTGGGCGGATCGGCGTGGCAGCGCTCGCACCCCCGGTGGGCGGTTTTTCACGTTTGGCATGATAGTTGTGAAAATCCACCCACTGATTGCACAAATACACCCGGCGATCAGCTTGGCACCCCCTGGCAGGTGGCATTTGCGCACCCCCCAGCGGGCAGTTTTATGCGATCGGCGATTGGATTTACACGATTGGTGAGTGGCGCTGGCACCCCCAGTGGGCAGTGTTTGCACCCCTGGCTGGTCAGCCGGGGGGCGAGCACTGCCCGTCGGGCGTGCCAGCGGCGCCCACCGATCGTGAAAATCTGACCGCCGATTGCGCAAATACACCGGGCGGCCGGGCATATTTGGTGATCAGTGGTTGGATTTTCACGATGGCGATCATGCCAATCGCACAAATCCACCCACCGGGGGTGTGAGCGCTGCTATGCAGCAGGGGGGAAGTCGCGGGGCCCCCTCTGGTGTGCACGGCTAGTGCCTCTCTTAGATATGTCTCTCCTCCTGTCAGGTTAGGCACGCGTGGGTCACCCGGAGAAGGCGGTGAGCGGGGCTGAGCTGAGGAGCGAAGGGGGAAGCAGAGAGCTGCGAGGGAGGAAAAAAGAGATTTAATTCGGAATTCTGGCGAGGTTCTTCTTCTTCAAGCCTCTGTTCCCCTTTCTTCACATAAGAGAAATACCATAGTGTCTAAGTGCGCTGAAGCACTTGCATAGTATTAAGCACAGAACAGCATTTATATACAGTGTATATAATCTGTACAGTTAATATGTATTAATTAAACTACTGCCTCGTCTTATATACAGCAACTAAACGAGACTGTGCAACTTGCCACAAGAAAGTTTTCGCTATTACGGTAACTTGTATTAATTTTATTCCCACTTCTCCCATTGGTGAGAAATCTGTGCACGGTTCCCATTCTTCCAAAGGTGCTGGAGGCTATAAGAATAGATTTGGCAGTCAATTAACTTTTGCTTTAGCTGAGAGCAGCTTCAGACATTGCAAGTAAGAGTGTTAATGACTTGCAATCTTTCCCTTCTTTCTTTACTTGTGTGGAATGTCTGAAATAGTCACTCATACAGTTTCTCCTCAGAGGAGAGATGAACGGAATGGCTTTTTGAAATTTGTCCACACATACAGGAAATAAAATGCAGATATGAAGGGAGAAGAAAATTAGAAGCAATTAACTCAGGATCTCCCCCTTTCTTTTGGCTAGACATTTTATACCTTCCATCTGCAGCTGCAGTCTTCTGTGGAGCTGCCAGTTTTCCAATCTCTCCTTGAGACATTGTTTTGTGAAGTGTTGTTTGGCCTGCATCTGAAGAGAAGTACCGTAATAGCTCCAAAATTTCAAGCCCAATAAATACTTCAGAACCAGCAAGGTCACTGGATATTTTAAGGATATACAATCATCCTACAATGGTGGACTCAGGGGCGGAGGAAGGGGTGTGTGGTGGGTGTGGACCGCCCCGGGTGTCACCACTGAGGGGGTGACAAAATGCTGTGCGGCACTCACCACAGGGCCTGCAGCGCGCCCAAGCCACGCGTCTTTGCTGGGAGAGATGCGGTGGCTTGGGTGTGCACAGGCCCTGCGCTGCCCAAGCGGTCTGCCCGCTGCCTCAACCCCAGCTGTAGGGCATGAGTGGGAGGAGGCAGGCAGACTCCGGAGGCCCCACGGTGCGCCCCGCCCATGTGGGCAGCTCGGCCCACCCCTAGGCGCACTGCCCCAGGCTCCTGAGTGGCTTCCTCCGCCACTGGATGGACTTAATACAGTGGATGCTTGGGTTGCGAACATGATCCATGCAGGATGCACATTGGCAACCCGCAGCGGCGCGTCTGCGCATGTGCAGGTTGCGATTCGGCACTTCTGCGCATGCACAAAGCGCGATTTAGCGTTTCTGCGCATGCGTGACTGCCAAAACCCAGAAGTAACCCATTCCGGTACTTCCGGGTTTCGGCAGTCCGTAACCCGAAAAAATGCAACCTGAAGCATCTGTAACCCGAGGTATGACTGTAGTGGACTCAGGCCAGGTGAGACCTGCAGGCAGAAGTTCACTGTGCATAGCTCTTGAATAGATACATGTATGAATCAGCAACAAGACATAGCTAGCCAGAGTGTCCTCCTAGAGTTGCTATATGCGCTGCCTTGTCCCTTGAACTTAACTTGGTTTAGTAAGATGATACAGGAACAAGACTTGTGCTTGTGCCTGAGAAAAGACTGGCTGGAGCAGACCAAAGATCTATCTGGCCCAACATCCTGTTTGCCATTGGGGCCAACGAGATGCCTCTGGGAAGACCAGAAGTAGGATGCGAGAGCAAAAGCCCTCTCCTGTTGTTGTTCCCCATGGCCCTCATGATGAGTAGTCACTGCAAATCTTATCCTCCATTAATTTGTCCGATTCCCTTTTAAAGTCAGCTAAGCTGGTGGCCGTCACCACGTCATGTGCTGGCAAAATCAATAGATTTTTGTGCGAAGTAGTATTTTTTCCCTTTAAGTCCCAGATTTCTCACCACTCAGCGTCACTTGATGACCCTGGGGTCTAGTATTACAAGGGGAAAATACATCACTATCGTCTTCCTCCACACATAATTTTGCATAGAACCTTTTAATGGGATGAAAGAGGAGAGCGCAAAATATGATCTGAAACTCAACATCAAAAAAACGAAGATCATGGCCACTGGTCCCATCACTTCCTGGCAAATAGAAGGGGAAGAAATGGAGGCAGTGAAAGATTTTACTTTTTTGGGCTCCATGATCACTGCAGATGGTGACAGCAGTCACGAAATTAAAAGACGCCTGCTCCTTGGGAGAAAGGCGATGGCAAACCTAGACAGCATCTTAAAAAGCAGAGATATCACCTTGCCAACAAAGGTCCGTATAGTTAAAGCCATGGTTTTCCCAGTAGTGATGTATGGAAGTGAGAGCTGGACCATCAAGAAGGCTGATGGCCGAAGAATTGATGCTTTTGAATTCTGGTGCTGGAGGAGACTCTTGAGAGTCCCATGGACTGCAAGAAGATCAAACCTATCCATTCTTAAGGAAATCATCCCTGAGTGCTCACTGGAAGGACAAATCCTGAAGCTGAGGCTCCAATACTTTGGCCACCTCATGAGAAGAGAAGACTCCCTGGAAAAGACCCTGATGTTGGGAAAGATGGAGGGCACAAGGAGAAGGGGACGACAGAGGACGAGATGGTTGGACAGTGTTCTCGAAGCTACCAGCATGAGCCTGACCAAACTGCGGGAGGCGGTGGGAGAGAGGAGTGCCTGGCGTGCTCTGGTCCATGGGGTCATGAAGAGTCGGACACGACTAAACGACTAAACAACAACATCATACTTTTCTCACTCACATTTTAAAAAGAAAATAAAGATCCCCAAGTATGATAACCTTTCCATATAGACAAATTGCCCACAATCTTTTGAGTTTTTCTACACCTTTTCTAGTTCTAAAATATCATCTGTGAACTGTGGTAACCAGAACTGTACACAGTAGTCCAAATGTGATCACTATAGTTACCTAGTTCAGAAAAGCCAGCATCTTGAACTACTTATTGAAGTCACTTTTTGGCTGAAGTATAACACCAGGAATCATCCTATTGGTGCTTAAACTGTCAAACAAGAGAACAGTTGTGTTGCCTAGCAACCACTCATAATGCTTTGATTCTTCAATCTAGAGCTCTGATAGGATGTGTGGTTGTGAAGGAGTTTTTCCCTTGTATAGTTGCTCTGGACCAGGCCTGAACTCTCTTTCTCCAAATATTATATAATGTATATATAATATTATACACTGCTTTTGTTCCGTTTACCTACAGTAAAATAGTAGAGTAAGCCTGTAATTTACTAGTTGGTGTTGTTTTTAAAAATAAATAAATTAAAAGGGGAGTGGAAAGGAGGTGGGTGTCTGGGAAAAAATATTTGCACAATTCAACCCCCCACTGAACCCAATATGCTTTGACTAGGAATAATTTTGGCTTTGGGTGCGATTTTCGGAATGTAACCCCCTGCAAGTTGTGCACTTACCGTACCAGTTTCTTTTCTCTCGATTCCATCTGCTTTCTTTCAGTCAGTCTGCTAACAGTTTTAGGATCCTGGCTTGTTCCAAACCTAGCAACCAGAGTTTCCCAAGGGATCTGGTCTGTCAAGTCACAAGAGTCATGACATTGCCCTCATGCAAAAAGGGGTTCATTGGGGCTTCTATGTGTAGAAGGCAGAACAGGAAAATTGTTTGTTTCCCCCCTTCTTGCTAGACAGGGGCCAAAGGGATTTGGGTACTTAGCTGTGCCTGATGCAACACCTTTACCATGAGCAAAGAAGATGCTGGATCAGCGTAAACATTTGTAAGCTGAAACAAAACCCAGCAAGCACCTCCTGGCCCCTTAAACATTGACACATTCTTATTGTGAATTAGCTTTGGTAGACAAGCTCATACTTTATTGCAGGTGTGGTGAACCTTTGGCCCTCCTGATGATGCTGAATTACAACTACAATCATCCCCAGCCAGCATGGCCAATGGTGATGGGAGCAGCACCTGGAGAGTCAAAGAAATCATTCTTTCCTTTGGAGAAGAACCAGTGTTTGGTGATAAAATCACTATTTGGCACACAGGTTTAACCTCCGGCATCTCCAGTTATATCAGGTAGATGGTGATGGGAAAAGAGACCCTTGTCTTGAGATTCTGGAGAACCTCTTATTAGTCAGTGCTGTATCAGCAGCCTGTTCTGGTATAAGGCAGATTCCAACTTACCATATTCCACATACTTACAAAAGCCAATCACCATACCATACACAAAGCCAATTGACACAATCAGCAAAAACTACATGGCAGACTTCTCCTGGGAAAGTATCATTTCATTGCAGAACATCTAATGATCCTAATGAAGAATCACATGTTTGAGTAGTTTTCTGTATTTAAAAACCCAGCAACCTCCCTGTGTGTAGAAAAGTAGCACATTAGGGAAGGGAATGCCTGACCTCTCTTCCCATATGATAATATTTCCTTCACACACACACACACACACACACACACAGACAAACACAAACTGCTCTCCTGCCACCTAGTGATTAAAATGTGCCCTAGCAGTCTGAAGTGGCATAGTCCCAGAACCACATACGGTAATTTATATGGCCATGTTAACACTTCCCCGCTTTTAACTTAGGTTTCATGCTCTCAGTATTCCCCTCACTGTCTCCGAAAGACACAAAAACTTTTGTCTAAATGGTTGATTATGATCATCACCAAGTACGGAAAAAATATGCCACTATCACTTTATTTTCCATTGTTTTCTTCTTTAATAAGCTAGAAGTTATTTGTTCATAAAGTTGTTTTTGTACAGCCATATAGTATCATATTTACAAAATATTACACAAATTGCACTTTGAATATGACGGCCTTGTTCCAGGAAAGAGAAACAAAAATAACATTAATTTAAAAAACTAAAGAAACCTCCAGACATGAAATTACAATGTGCCAGCTGACTGCGTAACTGCAAGCCAGCTGGTTCAGTGAGCAAAATAAAGCATTTTCCTTTATAGAATTCTTCTTTAAACATGTAAGATTTATAGAGTATGACACAGGACAATATATCCTTTTACAATACATAAGTCTTTTAAAATTTACACTCAGTATACTTATAAATTACTTTTAAAAAATCCATTAAAAATAACTATATGCAGCCAACGTCCTTTCTAGTGGTGAGTACATTCACTTAATACCATGAGTGGGGAGAAAAATCCAAGACCCTGTACTTACAGATTGCACAGGGTCAGGGAGTGCAGGTGGGGAGAGTAGACTGCTATCTTGGAAGACAGGTATCAGGCAAAAATATGGATGTGGAAATGAATGGAAATACTTTTTTTCTTCCTGTTGCCAGTATCAAAAACAAAACAAACAGTGCAACAACCAAAACTCTGGCTTGGACCCATCTGAGTTATGTAATTGTGTCTCCTCCTCCCCCAACAAGGCCAGTGCTGAAAGGAAGGCTTTGCACTGGAAGAAATGGGAATTAGTACCCTGGAGTGTATGCAGAGCCTAGCACTTCCCAGCAGAGCAACTAGTCAATATGAGGGCCAGAAGACGAGTTTCCAAAGGATCTTTGTGCACTTGTTGAGTGTGGCTCCAACAGAAACAAGCATCTTATGTGTGGGGGGGAAACGCAATGACTATCATGCAGTTCGGGACCAAGACAGGATTGGGGCGGGGCGGGGAGAGGAGTGCAGCTTATTAGTCTGCAACATACTAGCATTTAGGGAGGTGGGTGCAAAGAGTAGGGTAATCCTTTCTGGCTGTGCATGTCCTACATTGCTTTATTCCTTTTCCTCTCTTTCTTAAAGGGTAATCTGAAGCAGGAAGAGCACAGCTGAGGATTCCTATGTCAGAGGCCAGACAAAGTCTGACTAACAGGGCAAGTGCAAAATAGTAAAGTGGCAGTAGATATCGAGTGGGATGAAGTTTGTCCAGCTGGTTTGTGCCACGAGACCCATACAAATGGAGCTGCAAATTTCAATTGCCCCCCTTTTTTTGTAACTGGAGGCCCCGGCCTGAATTTGGAAGGGGCTGCTTGCATGTTTGGTTTTAAACCACCAATTCATCACTGATTCTTAGCCAGTCAGACCACTCAGACTGGAAATGAGGCGTAGGACCTGCATACAATCACTAACAAAAGCTGGAAACTATAGGTTATCAGATTCCCTGCTCTCATGCATACAATCACACTACACTGCCCCTGTTGGTAGTTTTTTATATTAAAAGTTTTTTTTAAATTACAGCTATATTTGTATGGGTGGTACAAAGCAGCTGGGCAAACCTTCTCCATCTGAATATTTTCTGCTATCCTCAGTTATGCTCTGAAAAAATGGGGCTCCGCAAAGGTCCACTTTAAAAGATACATACATTACTGCTAAAGTCAAGAACTGGAGCAAATTTTCCCACACACATTCACAGCTATTTCATCACAAAGACAAACTCCCGAAAGCTCCAAATCCAAGGTACTGGTGGGAATTACCTCATGACATAAGGATGCAAAAAACGACTACCTTCTGTTGTTTCACACTGTCAAGACCTCAGATCTAATTCTAGCTTCCCCCACCCACCCATTTACCTTCCTGGCTTAAATGTCCCACATTAAAGGGGAAAAAAAGTTAAGTCCCACATTGTGCGGGGAAAGTTAAAAAACAAAACAAAACCTATTTACATTGAACTTCAGTAACCATAATACTATCAAAGAGCTTCAAGTAGTCTCTGATTTTGTTTTGACTTTGCTTAATACTGATGTTCAGCAAAAAAGTGATGTTAAATCACATTTTAAACAGACTGATTGTGACAGCAGCCCTCCTTACTGCTTCTCCACCCATCTGCATTTTGCTTGAGTAAAGTGATTGTGGGAGTGACTTTTTTCCTGCCCGTCAGTCTGTTTGTGGAGCTTTTTGCTCATCTAGCAGCAGAATGTGTCCAGGGCATAGCCAGAAAAACAAAGGGTTCTATCTCCTAATATTTATGCTGCCTATCCTGTACCCTGAAAACAGAACACCTCTTGTGGTTATGGCTACTGAACATTCGGCACAAATATTTGGCATTGACCTACCTGGAATCAAACTGGCATTTGTTATTCTGACCTGTTTTTAAAGTCAAAAAGCTCTCTTTCCCACAACAGGTATGCACCTGACGGTTGTCTGAGAAGTGCTTGGGTGGAAATGAACATTTTTAAATATCTGACAACACAATGAAGCAAATAAGGAATAGCTTCAAACAAGAGCTTGGTCTCCTTTATGCTGCGGGTCCGTCTAAGAGGGCCCTTGCTTACGAATCCCAGTGCAAAAACCCAATCCCTAAAGTTGGCTGCTTTGATAGCTGGGATCAAGAATAGGTCCTTGAACTCCAATTGTCTTCTGGTGTTCTTGGCTGCTTGCACATTCCCTTGCCCATCACAGACAGAACTGGGGACTGACAGAATATGCAGATACAGCTCACCGGCCCTTCCTTCCTTCAGGTTCACTGAGGGAACACACTGAGTCCCAACACACTGAGTTCCAGAACGCCGGTGGCAGCAGACGGTGTTGAAGAAGCAGCAAGGTGTCACGAATGAGATGTTACAATTTTGCTGCGATCAGCTGGTGCGGCTCATACCATAAATTCATTGTTTCCAAGTAGCACCAGCTGCTGGGCATTGTTGTAATTGGCAGCATCAGGCTGTCTCTTCTGGCCTGGCCCGGCAGTTGCCTCTGGGAGCTCTTTGGCTTTTGGTGGGGAGTTCTTCACATTCTTCAGCTTCTGCTTGCCCTTCTCGGGATTGAAAGTCCCTCTAGTGCTGAACTGCGGCTTGTCTTCCAAACCTCTGAGGTGCCCTGGCGCTTGTTCGAGTGCTGAGGCATCCCCAGAGGGAGCTGCCCGGTAGAAAGGCGATTTTGAGTATATCTGGAATCGCTTCCTAGTTACATGAGGTAAGCAGGAGGAGGAAGAGGAAGGGGAGGGTGACAGAGATGGAGCAGACACAGAGGAGTCTACCGACTCCACAGATTCCTGCTGCTTCTTCAGATGCCTTCGAGGCCTGGTAGTGATGGTGTCTGCCTTGATGGGTCTGGCGAAGCCAAGTGCTAAATTTCTATCTGGCAGAAAAGAGATACAAGAGAAGTGTCAAAAGTGTTGGCATTATCCCAAAATGCACATATCTTACTGAGTTGTATGGAAAACAGAACACAATCAGGGAAAACCACTAATGGGAACGCACATCCAAAACAAAAAGACAGCTGCACATGTTGGTAGGATTCCCAACTTGTTTGTAAAACTATCTTGGGAATTTCTTTCCTTACATTCCTTAATAAATACTACTTGGAACAAACTGCTACATAACGGAACTGTAACTAAGCCTTCCTTTTTCTGTGGTGAGCACATATTCCCTGCTTCCAAACCCAACTGTTCCCAGGGTCTAATGCACGTAAAACATTGTGCTCCCTACTCATTGATTTCTCCAACTGGTGATCCCTTCTGTTCTTCCTTTAGAAGAACTTATTTGCTCCATCAAGTACCATGACAATCAGCCGATTGAAGAGGGGAGCATTCTTGCCTCTCATGGACCATGGCGAAGAGCACCCAGTCTATCAATAGTTCTCTTGCTTGCATTCTGCTATTTAACCCAATGGGACAAATCACCTCTGGGAGAGCTGCACAGAGCAGGTTGTGTGCAAACTACAGAGGTATTTGGAAAGGCTGGAGTTGGTTATTCTCCATTGTATTACTTTGGGAAGACCTTTAGGATCATCACCATTATTAGAATGCAGAATTGACTAGGGGGTATTTCTTTCTCCGATATAGTCAATACAGGAGCTGGCTACCCATCCTTTTGTCTGCAGCCATGAGGTCTAGAACTTTGCTTTAACACAAAAGTTGCAATACTCAGGTTTCTGAGGGATTCTTGAATTCATCACACGGGAGGCAATGAATGCCATTTTCTCCAAGCAACATCAAAACTGATTTATATTTCAAACTTTACATATGGTAAAGCAGACACATCAGTTATAATGCATAAGCAAAGACAGACACCCAAATATAGTTAATCCCATCTTGTGCATATGGACAAATTAGCTATGAACAGTCTTTATTCACCTGCTCTGTCCAAAGTGTCTCCTTCATAACCAATGTTCAGGTTTTCAGAGCTGTGGGCAGTGCCAATGGAGGCCTCTGATTCCAGAGTTTCATCATCAGAGGCTCTTGGGTCTAGTACCAGCATCTCAACAGTTAAGTTTTCCCTGAGGAAACAAACAAAAAACAATTGGACTAAAGGGAAGAAGAGAAACCAGCAGCGTGAGCAGGGAGTCTGGAAGTACTAGAGTATTTAGGTCACTAGAAAACACAACATTATCAGGAAGAAACATTCTTGAGCAAACGAAACCAAACAATTTTAACTAAAGATACATTGTAAGATATTTACAGCTGGGATGGTTCTAGAAGGCATTTGGTTATCACAAACCTGCTCCCAATCTGAATGTGCAACCCAGCTCCTATGTGAGGCTTTCATTTCTTGAACCGTGGCAACCTTGACCACCCTTCCCTGCTCCTCAGTTCCACTCATCCAGACTTACTTTTCTTTCTGAAGGTTTTCAATCTGCTCCGTCAAAACTCTCTCTTCTTCCTGCATGGCAACTTTCTGCTGCTCAGAGACCTCTGCCTCCATGGCCTCTTCGCCACTCAGGACCTCTTCAGAAGCATCAGAGGCAGATGGCAACCGGAGAGGAGCGGGAGATGAAGGACTTGGGTAGGCCCCGCG